TGTGTAGGAGATACAAAAAGCCCATAAAGAGCTGCCAAAATAATATAAACAGAAAAACCTCAAGGGACTTACAATCCTTTGGTAAACGATTTCGATTGAATGCTTGTTGGTTATTTATATAAAGAGAAAGGGTACTTGGATATTCTTTTTTATCATTTTATAATCTGGTGCTTTAATTTGAGTATCTAGAGTTTTAGTTTCACAAAAAATTACTATTTCTTGATTAATTTGAGATAAAAAAAAACCCTTGTGTAGTTAAAGATTGATTGATACATTCAACAATGATACAACCATTCTTTTAAAATAGGATATTAACTAACTCATTTCATGAATGCAACCAATTGACACCAACTTAATATTCGCCTTAAGTTCTATTAGATTCTAAAATCGTACCGATGGAGAAATTGATTAAAATAAATTCAAACCTGTTTTAATTGAATTTTCAGATTTTATTTCTGCACAAAATATATTATTTTTAAGATAAAATGGCAAGGCAGAATAATTATTTCATACTTTTACACTGTACTGAAGCAGAATGTAAATATGACGGTAAATTCATCTATTTTATAGATAGCATGTCAAACATCATTATATCGTAATAACAATGTTATTTGAAAAATTATGGTTTCTTAGCTAACACTATCGTTGATATTATCTTCTATTTACACGTTCCAATTAATAGTTTACCAACCAACGTAGAATTGGTAACACACAATTTCAAAATAAATTATTATATAAATATTACAAGATGTAATAATTTATTTAAGAGATGCCTCTTTACGTTTTCTTTTCAACCTTAAACTTACGAGAATAAAGTGTTATTTCTTTGTATTTAGTAAAACTCGGAGTAATTTCAACAATAATTTTAGACCGAAATATACAAAATTCATTACTCAGCTGTTTATAAATTCTCTACTTGACTAAACATTCCCTTTCTCTCTCTTTCAATAAGGGCAATTTATCAATCATTCTTAAAATTAAAGTAAACATTTGAAATTACTAACACATTATTGATCCGTAAGAGCCAATGAAAGTCGGTATCTAATGAAAATTACTGATTCATTACTTGAAAATAACCAAGAAAGTTTATACGAATGCTACTTGGTAACCAAAATGTTTTTGTCTCACAATAAAATTACAAAGCATTATTCTGTTGATACCAACTTTTAACATACAGTAATACAGAACTATTACTCACACTACACATTCACTAAATTTATTTTAACTAATTTATGATGTTGAAAATAAGAGAAAACAGAGTAGCGTAACATAATTTGCAAGACAATGCTAGCTCACTAACATTAAAACACAATGGAGATACGAAATATTGTTCTGTATGTAATTAATGGTTTCGTAGGCTAAAACAATTTTGACGTATATTCCAGAACCATAAACAACGAGTTTTATGTACTATACTAAACAAATTACATCATATAATTTATATTTTTCGTAAACAATTAGTATGTTTGTCTTGCTAAACTTCTGTTTAGGTTGTCAAATAAAACGTTGTATTAACTAACTGGTTAGTTACTATTCAGTAAAGGTATTCGTACAGCTGTAAATTAAACCGACGTATAATTATAGCTTATAAATTGATAAATTTAGATATCATAAATTTGTAAACATATAAAAATATTAAAAATATATTCATTGTATATTTTATTGACTTAACGAAGAGCCTTGGTATGATATGTGTAAACGTGTGTTACACGTTTATAAAGTATTATGGAAGAATAAAATGATAGGCGTGGAGCAAATATGAAGAAAACGTAGATTTAGAGATATTTTATCAAATAGGTTTTTTTATTTCGTATTCAACAAAATACAAGGTTCTAAATAACAGTACTAGTTTTAAATATATATAAAAAACAATCTCGTATCACTGTTTAATGTTTCATTGTGATTAACAATTAAAAGTTAATGAACCATTGTGATTGTGGAAACAATCCAATGACTCAAAATACTTTTTTATTATCTCTCTATGGTAAAAATATGTTATAATTTCCACAAGAAAAAAGAACAAACTATTTTTCACCACATCTGTATACAACAACAACACAAGGAGCACGGAGGGACAATTCCCTCTACAATGCAACAAACAAAAACAGGTCATATTAGTGGCCAATGTATAAACCACATTGTCATTTGCGTCACAACACTATAAATTATACATTGCCCTAGATAGCTCTAAGTATTGTTTTGACTATTATATTATACGTTTCTAGATGTTTTCAGGCAGATTTGTGGCATGTTTGATTCCAAAAACCGTAAGGTTAACAGAGGCATTAAAAAATTGCATTATTCCTTTTTTTTAGATTTAGTGATTTCTTTTGTCAAAAACATATAACAAAAATATCTAAAGTGAATTCATCAGCAAGTAATGCAATTGCCATGGAATTTTAATCAAAAATATTAAACATTCCGATGTCTTAAATTTAAACCAGAAGGTGGGAGCAAACAAAGCATGCTTGAAAACCTCACTAACTCAACTAATTTGGCCAAGTACTTCTAAACGTCTCACACTCTCTTATATAATTATGTAAAGAGGTTTTCCCCTTACGAGTAGGTCCTCTCTTACTTGTAGCTTAATTAAGTTCCTTATCTTCAAAATATTGTCAAAAAAAATTTGCAAACAATTTCTTACGCAAAATGCAACCATGTACATTGAACATAGCTATTAGAATAAAACAAAACAAACTTTTCAAAACATAAGAAAAATACTGAGTCGATTTTTCAACATTGTTCTACCAAACCGTCAGAAATAACGAAACATCCGATGTTCGATCACAGATGTATTCCCTCAGTCCCAGAGCTCCTGATCTTTCTATCACATGAGAAACACTCAATGTTAAACCACTGGGCGACCCAATCACTTAGCTCACCTACGATTTGACATTTGACTGTTTTTACTAACGCCTTCAGCTTTAATTTGTAAGTTTGAGAAGTTGTTTTTTAAATAGTGTATTTTGGCCAATTCTATAGCTTGCATAATTTTTAGTGTTGCTAGCTTTTTTAGCACTGAAAGACACATACGTACTTGTGTGTTCATCACATCACAATGTTTGGCAATACAATTTATTTTTACTTTTTATAAACGTAACTACCTATTTCACTAAATTTCCTACAAGAAACTGTGTGGAGTTCATGTGCAAAAGTCATGTTTTTCGGTTTTCACAGATGTAGAAAGTTTTAAAAATCAATACTCCACTTCCATTCTTTCCAGAAATGAAAAACTTTTATTATACAGGGCGTTTATAAATGAATCATCAGGTTTTAATGGCATATACCTCACCCAATTCTTGTCCCACGTTAATATTTGAAACCCCCCTAGATCTCCTGATCTTACGGTGTGTGTTTTTTTTTCTATGGGGCTATGTAAAAGACAAAGTTTATGTACCGCCAATGCCTCAAACGCTTCAAGAGCTCCGTGGACGAATTCGCAATGCCGTAGAAACAACCAACCTTGCGATGTTAGCCGGTGTATGGGACAATTTACAGCATAGATTGAAAACTTACTCCACGGATAATGGGCGGGACGTTGAGCACTTCTAGCGTTGTATCTATGACAAATTTAAGAGTTCTCCTTTCTGTTGATATATTTTATATCCGGAACATTAACGTCAATAAAACCTGATGATTCTTTTATAAACGGCCTTAATTTTACCCTGCTGCTCTCTCTGGTTCCGAGGGTCTGTCTCAAGGTTTCTTAAGTCCACCTTTAGTTGCTTAGAACGCTTTTTTATGTATAATGAACTGATATGAGGTAAATGAATCTTTCAATATGCTTCATATACTATCCAAATGAAAAAAATATGCTTTAAACGAGGTAATGGTAAAATTTATATTTCAAAGCGGATGAAAATTGGATTATTCCCCTTTTCATGAACTATCCATTATTGGCATTTAAACAAATCATTGATTTAATATAGAATATTAAAGTTTAATGCCTCGTTGATTATAAAAATATAAATAGCGAAAACTTTGACATAGATATAGATATACTTAGCCTGGTTACATTTTACTCTAATATGCCTATTTACTGCTTCTTAATTTACAGCATCTCTTTTATACTAAATTGTTATCAAGGACGTATTTAGGTTTGTGAAACAAATGTTAATATAACATTGATGTTACTATCATAAATTACTTCTTTGTAATTAGAGTCAATTTAACCGTGTAAGCATACTAATACTTCGTAAAGTATGTATTTGTCAAAAGTCTACGAATTGCAATCCAATATTTGTAGTAATCACTTTATATACGGCATCGTCAAATCCTGTACATCCCACCTATCATTTACAGCTCAACAAACAGTATACCTTAAAACGTTTTATTGTCTCTGTCTTTATACGATAGTTACTTTTATATAAATTTAAACCATACATTTTCATACATTTGAAAGATTTTTACCCAGAGTCCTTAAATATGTTAAATGTCAAATCAAGATTATTGGTTTTTGATGCTATAAATAGTCAGAACAACAAACGCTAAGCTTTGATTATAAACATCTGTGTGGGTTCCACATGGATATGTATGATGGAATATATTTCGATAAAATGTTATCTGAAATTGATGGGGCTAGTTTTAAAAATATTTGAAGTAAATGTAACTGAACGCTCGACGGATTTTATAAATAAGAGTGTAAGTTGTGTTTTAGATTTTAAATTTTCGGTAAGGTTAAATATACCTTATAATGATCAGATTCATCGACCGTGGTACTAGTTTTGGTCAAAATGTATATTTTTTTAACAGTGTATATAATTTATGATGTTAAGAAAATAATTCTGCATTATAATTAAGACTTGTCATACTTATGGTAGCTTAATAAAACCACCTTTTACCTAATTAGATACTGTTTCTATTGCAAAGGGGATCTACACTTCTGCAATCAATCCTCACAATTATACTTATATAATATACTTATATACTTATATACTTATACTTATATACTTATTCACACACTGGTCATTAAATAGATTTTATGTAATTTTGAAACTTACCTACTCCTCTGTTTTCTGAACCTGAAACAAAATAATTGATCTTACATAAAAAGTACCTAGGAGCAAATATTATTTAATACTATTTAGGAAGTATGATAACAATAACAAATATTATAATTGTGTGCACCACCTGTGGTCCTTTTCCCCTAGTCTATTGGCATTATTCGGTTTATAAATAGTTACGTTGTACTCTGAACTTTTTGTAAATTATGAATTATTGTTGCGTTGGACATTGACAAAAGAGACAAAAGACTAATTCGTTAGGTAATAAAAACCGTATTTTCAAAACAACATTAATTTTTTTTTTATTTAAACATTTGTGTTTGATTCTAAAAAGTATTCAAGAATATATCTTTCGTTGCAATAATATTGATATACTATTAGAATCTAGGTAGTGAATGTAATTTTAAGAGGTTCAAACACGTAGGTATACAAATTAAAAGCCATGTAACTATGTTGTATAAAGTCTTATATTTAGACTAACAAAATAATTAAAGCATATCAGTCACTGTAATCATTAAACATAACTCGTCCCCTGGTAATATAACCAAACAACACTACACAAATAATTAAATAACCCCCAAATATTAGAAAATATTTCGTCGACACTAGCGCCCAGTGTCAAAAAACAAGAATTATACACGAAAAACAAGCTTCAAATTTTAAAATGGAATGAGAAGACTACTTGTTTATGTTTTGCAAATACCATGCTGTGCTACTTTCGTTGTCAGTAAAGTTACACAAAAAACAACGTAATCTCTGTTCATTATCAAATTTGGATCAGCAGAAGCAAGCCAGAAAAAGAAGAAACATATCACCACAAACAACAACACATCGTAAATTGAGCATTAAACAAACTGCGTATACAAGCAACGCCATCTGGTGAGTGCAAGCGATTTAACATTGTCTAAAAACAGCGGGTTAAATCTAAACAACTTTTTGTCTAAGTTGATCTATAACTTTAACTAACTTCTTATACAATGCCTTCTGTTTCTTAAACATTGTGGTTGAAGAGTTAAGGGCCACTTTAATTTATTTTTCACAAATATTTGAGAAAATATACACGCCAGAGATTAAGTTATTTCTAAAATCTAGTGTTTTAATATAAGATGAACTATAGTTCTAGTTTGCATTTAAAAATCTTTCCCACTACTTAAGAACATTGTGGTGTTATCGAAATAATACTGTAAATATTCTTGAACTTCATTGTTTACAATACATTAGTTAAGTTTAATTAGTTAACTAGAATGATTGAAATTACTATTTACTGAGCCATATCGTAATACGATTTACATTCAACAGTTAAAGCTAATGTCAAATACAATCCTCAGTGGTTGTGACGTGGGCTGGGCTAGTGGATGTTTTTGACGTTGCTTCTTATTCAATTATTACATCACTGAGGAAGAACGATTGTGTGTTTCTCTGTGTAACATTAACAATAGTAAGAATGTAAGGTAATGCAAGTTACATTATATATTTTTAATGATAAATCATAAAAGCGAAAAGAATCACCGATGTTTAACATCAGGATAAGCAACTGCACATTCCTTTTTTACGTGGAAATTTACATTATTATTTCATTTATCGACCGATCCGTCGCATACCAAGTTATGGAAATTAACGTAATCAGGTAACATCTTAATTACATGACGTCACATATCAGGTTACAGGAATTAACATCATGATGTAAGATCTTAAACACATGACGTCATATATCAGGTTACGGAAATAAACGTATTTAGGAAACATCTTAAACACATGACGTCATATATCAGTTTACCAAAATATACGTCATGAGGTAAGATCTTAAACACATGACGTCACATATCAGTTTACGGGAATTAACGTCATGATGTAAGATCTTAAACACATGACGTCACACATCAGTTTACGGGAATTAACGTCATGATGTAAGATCTTAAACACATGACGTCACACATCAGTTTACAAAAATATACGTCTTGAGGTAAGATCTTAAACACATGACGTCACATATCAGTTTACGGGAATTAACGTCATGAGGTAAGATCTTAAACACATGACGTCACATATCAGTTTACGGGAATTAACGTCATGATGTAAGATCTTAATCACATGACGTCACACATCAGTTTACAAAAATATACGTCTTGAGGTAAGATCTTAAACACATGACGTCACATATCAGTTTACGGGAATTAACGTCATGATGTAAGGTCTTAAACACATGACGTCACACATCAGGTTACGAAAATATACGTCATGAGGTAAGATCTTAAACATATGTCGTCATATATCAGCTTACGGATATTAAAGTATTTAGGAAACATCTGAAACACATAATGTCACATATCAGTTTAAGAAAATATACGTCATGAGGTAAGATCTTAAACACATGACGTCAAAATGTTGTTTGCGAATTTAATCATTGGTGACGAAAAGATAATATTATTACAGACAAATTTATATGCAGGGTATTTTTATTGTTCGATTTCCTAGGGCTTAACATCTTAAAATAGCAGATTAGATGATGTTATCTTGAAAATTATAATTTTTTTATTGAAATATCTAAGTGACTGAAAATTATAACAGAGATAATTCCATTAACCTAAAACATGTGACACTTCAGCTAATGAATCTCTGGAGATGAAACTTAATCTCTTACCAGGGGCTAATGATGTGTTTCAAATAATGGTTTAGTTTTAGTAAGAATTAATTATAAACTCACTATAGATCAGTTTTATATCAAAATTACTTTTTATTTATTTTCATTTTTAAGCTATTAAATTCTAGTTTCTTTCCGAGTTTTCCGATTGGTGTCTATAACTCAATAAAATAATACAGCTTTGCAACTATATATAATCGGTTTGCTCAAATAATTAAACCTATTATAATTAGCTTTAACAGCATTGTATATTTTGTTATCCATTATCATTATGAGATCAAGAAAAGCTGAGTTTTTTACAAAAATAAATATTATAGAATTACTGGTTTTAAATTTTATCTCGAAGATTAATATATTGTACATTAAAGTTGTAAAAAATTTAAGAAATGTGTATGTTAAAAGTACAAGTGTATTCTTGAGTCCAATAATGCAGACTGTTTGCTGAAAGTACTTTCAGTTCCTTGTTGACTACCTATAGAGGTTTAAATCAATTTCTTCTGGTTAAGTAACGCAAAGCCACCGGAAACAAATAATTTTCTCTCTGGAATATAAACTATATAACGACAGGCACGTCCTTACTATTAGCTTGTATACATTTCTCTTTAAAGCATACAAAAATAATTTTCGTACATGATATAAATATAATGTATAAACTCGAATATATTTTGATGTAGTAGTTACTTAACTATCCACTTTACAAGACTACTCATTACAAGGCATGATGTGTGTGTTTTTTTTAGTTTTTTTTAACGTCTTTTGTCTCACTAGGAGCGAAAGTGTTTTTTTGCACCAAGCTTGAGTGCCACGATCAAGTACCAAAAATACTTTTACTCCTAGTGATGAATAACTATTTTCATCATACTGTGGAAATAACCATCTAATCGTTACACAATTGGACTACATAGTTTGAGGCTATACAAAGTTCTCATCAATGTTTATATTTATGTTGTTTACAAACATAACTTAAAATATTGTATGACTAGCAGAGTTTTTATAATGTGTGTTTCATATAGTAAAGAAAATTTATAATGTGCCATAAATACATTTTGAGGTTAGCGAAAGATTTACCATAGGCTATGTTTTTTCCTTTGTCTTATTTGAAGTTACCGGGAAACGGTGATTTTTCGGACGATTTAGAGAACTACAAATGGCTGTTTTCCGGACAGTATGATGAAACACCTTTTTGTAAATTATTGTAGAATCCTCAAAACTTTCGTAGTCTTCTCGATTGGTCCGCTTACTTAAATTGAAATGGTTTTACATAACTTATATATTAGTGGTAGGTATGCACAAAGTTTTAAAATAATTTATAATGAATGTGATAAGTGTATTGCAAATACTTACGTTAACTCAACGAAGTTAGAATTACCATAATGGTTAAAAACCAATATTCAAACTATGTTTAAAAAAATGTTACTAACTGTGTTACAGTGCCATAAGAATACCATTGTTTTTTTTATAGGCAATAATCATTATATATTCAAGTTAACGAAATGCTAATCTATAATTAATAGGACTACAGTTTTTTGTTACCGGTACAAGTTAAACCTCTTTAAATACAAGCACCGGTAGAGTATCGTCTATAATTAAATCGCAGTAGGCTCCCCACAACGTAACTAATAAAGGAGCTAATGAGTTACATCAAAGAGGGGTTTCGAACCTTTACGTCATCTTCAGAAGGTTGGTCTTGTAACTTTTAACGACAAAGTTTATACAACTTATGGCTCTAATAGTTAAGACCCCCCTTATAAGGCGAATTAGCATGATACAGCCACTTTAAAAAATATTATTATAGTATTTATATAATATATGTCTTGTCAGTTGGTTCATTAGTAGTATCCGATTTTGAAAGTTTTCCCTAAATACAAATTTAAGATGGGATTTTTCTAGACTGATTTTACCGTGTATGCAATATATATTCATTCTTTCCTGATATTGCATAACTAGGAATGGCAATCCGGCAATCTAAGCGTAGCTTATTCCATAATTTAGTAATGTGCATTTGTAAACAGTTGAGCTGTTTAGTAATGCATTAGAATTTCAAACATAACTCATGAAGGGTCATGTGAAGAATTTTAGAGGGATTATAATATATCTTGATTTAAATAATTGAGTATAACCTATATTAAGGTTTTATAGCTATGTGAGACGATGGACCTAAGTTAAAAAATTCCAACTTATGTTTACAAATTAGGTTTCAAATCAGTTCTTGTTAAATTGAACCTTTAAGTGATAAACACTTTAGTTTGTTGATGGAATTTAGTGTTGGTCCCAAGTATTGTATTTATTATTTCTTTTTCTTTTATGTAACAAAATTATATGAAACTTATATACTTGATTTAACTTAAATCTACATGTTTGGATTTCTTAAAAGTTA